ACAGGCTGGTTTTCCTGAGGGAAGGCTAGGTGGTGGAAGCCTGGACCAGGGAAAGCTAAATGTTCCCTGCTGGGTTCTATCTGCGAAAAGGTGGAGCCTAAGCACTTGGACCTGTCCCTGCCCTGCCCTGAGTATACATTTCTCTATACTCTGGACCCACTGAGGCTTCTTGTAGAAGCTTGCAGGGAGACCCTCCCCTTCCCAACCACCAAGCTTCTCTCTCTCTCTCTCTTTAACTAACCTTTTTATTTGTTGAGACAGGATCTCATTATGTAACCATACCTGGCTTGGACCTTGCTATGGAGCTCTGGCTGGCCTCAAACTCAGAGATGCTTTTGAGTGCTGGGATTAAAGGCATGAGTCCACTGGGTGATGATGTTCACCTTAAATCCCAGCACTTGAGAGGCAGAAGCGGGTGGGTTTTTTTGTGAGTTCAAGGCCAGCCTGATCTACAGAGTGAGTTCCAGACAGCCAGGGCTACACAGAGAAACCCTGTCTTGAAAAGCAAAAAGAAAAAAAAGAAAAGAAAAAAGCAAAAAGGCATGAGCCACCACACCCAGCCAGCCACAGAGATTTTGGTTACAACAAAAAGGTGTCAGGGTCCCCCAGAAACTGAATGAGAAGTGCAAAGAGTAGAATATTCAGGACTCTGGGAGCTGGCTTCTGGTGGCCTGTGTGAGAGCCCAGGACAAGAATATTATGTCAACATGGGGTTTATCCAACTCAGCCCAGACAAGCAAAGCAGAGCCCACAGCAGGCCCTCTTGCCTCAGGTGTTCACAAACTGACTCTTCAACAGACCACTCAGAGTCTGTGATTCGAGATATCCCACAGCTCTTAGTGACAAACCCTCTATCCCAGGAGACAGAGCAAATGCTCTATGTACAAGATGACCTTTCCCTCGGTAAGAGCTAGCACCCACTGTGTGCCCGATTCTATGTGAAAAACTGTGGCATCAAGGGACCTGCACCCTCACTATCCCTGTGTCCACAGAAATCAGCTCAGCCGAAAGCCAGACACACACGTCAACAGCCAACAACAAATAACTACAAATTGGGCTAAGTGGGCTGAGTACGGGAAAGCTCAATTAGCCTTGCGGCCTCCTCCAGCCCTTGAGGCCTGCCCTCATTACATAGCCAGGCATGCCCATCCTCTCTGGGGTTCCCTGGCTGGCAGCCTGGCAGAGCAGGGTTTGTTGACAACTGGCTAAGGAGCCCTTATTGAACCAAACTGAAGGAAAAACAATTAAAAAACAAAAACAATGATCATTCTGTGTAGTCCACTTTCATGAATCTAGAGACCAAGCATTTGATAATCCACACAGCTGCTAAGTGGTAGAGCCCCAGATGTCCCAGCTCTGGGCCATGGTCCCATAGCACCCACCCAGCAGCCTGTCCTGCTACCTCACAGCCCATCCTGATCTAGGATATAGCCTCCAGGGATCTGCAGCACCTGACTCATCTCAGAGGCTCTTGCCCCATGAACACTGTCTCGTCAAACTGTGTGTGATGTCACTGTTTCACATCGGAGATGTCCCACACAGAATGCGGCCCCACTCCACTATCCAGGTGTGGCCACGTAGGGTAGGACTGCCAAGGGAGGAAAACTTTGAAGAGCAGGAAATGGAGGGGGCTGCACAGGGAGCCCTGAAGGACTTGGGCCCAGTTCTGAAATGCCTGGATGGCAGCCTCTGTGGGCTCCCAAGGACTTCATGGTTCCTCTGAGCTCCACGGCACCTATGACACTCCAGCAATACCAGCCCTTGTCACCATTGTCACCATCCCACACAGACTTGCACCTCCCAGCTTGCGTATGGTGCACCTTTCCTCTCCTCCGCCCACACAGTTTTCCTCTTCTCCAGACCTTAGGTCCCTCCCGGAAGCTGGCCAGGAGCTCCTCGACTGTACTGATGCCTCTGCCAAGAGCGTATAAAACTTGCCTGGCACCCAGAAGGGGCCTCACCGCTCCCCCTTTATGTGGTCTGCACCATTCCCCAAGCCACACTCTGTTCCCCAGACCCACTCTGGAACCCTCAGAAATGCTCGTCTCAGTCAGATGCTCAGAGGCCAGAAGGCCAGAAGGCCACACTCCCGCATCCCCTGCCTCCCCTACAGTCTCAGGTCAGTCGGGCTCCCAGGGAAGACGCAGAAAGGGAATACACTGAGTAGGCAGTGACAACTGTCATGAACACTCAGGAACACGTTTGAAAGGAACCAATGTGAAGACAGAACCTAAGCGAGCCTGTGAAGGCCTTCCCATTCTGCCTCCCAATGGGCTGTGACACACACTCTCTCTCCTGCTCCTCTCCTGGCTCCTGAATACTGAATCCTAGGCTGGCCAGTACTACTGGCAGTGTTTATCCAGCAAGCAGTGAGAGGCTGCCAGTCCTTGGACCAGCCTTGGGCCATCTTGGAGAGAGCAAGGCAGAGAAAAGAGACTGAAACTATGACACAGAGGCAAATGCCATTCCTATAAGAGCATCCAGCCAGATGCCCTGACTGTGAGGAAAGGCCAAGGAAGGCCAGGGAGAGCCAGCATAGAAGAGAAGTAGGTAAGAGTGAGGAAGATAGGTCACAGGTCACTACGGAGTGACAAAGGAAGTGACAAAGGGTGGAGGAGTCCGTCTCCCGAGTCCCAAGTCCACAAGATGTCCTCACATACTCTCTACCTGGACTCCTTGCTGGACATCTTCGCCCAGACTAGTGCATTTCTGCAGAATACCCAGGAAGGACCTAGACAGTCTCCAATGAGACTGCATATTCTCCATCTCCTGCCCTCACTCCCACAGGCTTCCTGCTTCTGTGGGCTCTCAGTCCCTGGGTCCTGGCTCCTGCGAAGCTGGGAGACAGTCCTGTCTAAGTTCAGCAAAGGTAGGTAGATGTCCTTCCACGCTGAGAGGGAAAGCCTCTGGCCAGAGGTAGCTAGGTCAGAGAGGCAGGTAGATCTGGAGGAAGACAGGGTTCAGGAGAGGGACTTGCTCAGGGGAGGGCCAAAAAGAGGTAGGGTGGAGCAGAATGCCAAGTTTGTTTATTTGGGGCTTTTTTGCTGCTATTCCTGTTTGGCAGTCAGACTGCGACAGGCAAAGACACCTCTACAGAGTGTACCCAAGGACGATTGGGGCTGAGAAGAGGCCACGGTGGCCCGTGGGTCCTGCCTCATAGCTATCATGCCCTCCATTCTTATAGAGAGGCAAGAGCGCCGCCCCCAAGGATAGCCCCAGAGACAAGCCCCTCAGTGCCAGCTGGGGACAGTGGACTGGCCTGACTGAGCTAAGAAGCTTACCAAGAACCTACCAAAGTCCGAAAGAAGTGACGGGCTGAAGTGGGCCTTAAGAGGAAACTGACAGACTGAAGCCAACAATAAGGAGACCAAACCAGCTTCAATTTTTGTTCCCTTCCCATGGCATCCAAAGTCACCAAGGACATCCCAGGCATATCACCCCACCTTCTGTACTAAGGATGGTGAATTCAGTGTGTACCTCAAACAGAGGCTGTGTGAGGAATGAGAGAGCATTCAGGCCATACTGAGACCAGATGCCATTGACTGCCCCCTCAGAGCACTAGGGGATGACCAGGAAGCAAATGGCACTAGATCTGACTGCATGCCATTCAGATACCAGGCCAGAGAAAGATGAAGGGAGGCCAGGGCAGCAATACGAGCCACACCAGGCTGCTGAATGCAGAACACAGCATGAAGTAGCAGAAGTGGGGTAAACACTGTCCTGGGAACCCAGCCACATACAGCAGGTCCTGGAACCCAGGATCAAGTTAGACTCATGGCCCCTCTGCAGAGTTCTGTGTCCAAGCAAACCAGAAGTATCCGTGAGTGGGAATCAGGCCTGGACCTGAGGCAGGGGCCCAAGGCAGGTGATGTGGTTCAACAAGCTTGCCCTCTGAAGACTTCTGTCTGCCTCAGGTCTCCTCAGGGGCTGCGTCCCTCATTTTTTACAGGCACACTCTCTCTATGCTCAAGGAGGTTGTGCCAGTCCGGGGAGGGTGGGGGTAAGAGGAGAGCATCCCTGGACATGGAGGAGCTGGACCTGGCCCAGCCCTGGGCTGAAAGGGTCTGTAGCTCCTCCAAGTTCCTCAGGCCCCTTGCTGACTTGTTTCTGCCACAGACATCCCATAAAAAGGCAGGAGTGTGAGTGGCCAGCAAGAAGGGAGGGGAAAAGGGTGAGGGAGAAGGAAGGGGAAGGTTCTTGACACCCCAGAGATAGACTGGCATCCACTAAGAAACCATCTCAGTCCCTCAGGGGACTCTGAACCCAGGTCAGTTACTTAGAGGAGGCCTTCTATTCTAGACTTGTGACTAAAACTTTCAGCCTTTTTCTCAGATGTGGGTACTAGCTACATAGATGAGGTTGTATCAGTCAGCCAAGGTGACTCTACCGTGTCCCGTTTCAAAAAAAAAAAAAAAAAAAAAAAAAATCTCTTGGCTTGACCATAGGCTTCCTGCAGCCCTTGAGTCAGTGGGGTGCACACAGCTGACCCTCCATAAGGGAAGGAAGGGGGAAATGAGTAGGGGACACTCTTGAGAGATGGAAAATAAATAATAAAGGGACTGTTTTCCAATGCCAACCTGGCACAGTGCCCAGTGCAATCATCTTACCCTCAGAGCTCACAGCTACACTTGCCTCATCTTTTCCAGAGGTATGCAAGCCCAGATACGTCAGCCTTCAGGTATGCAGAGGTCGGTGGCTGGCTGCCTGCCTTTCTTCCCTGCTTCTTCCTGTGGGACTTTGCTTTCTTGGCATAGACCACCCTGCCCCACCCATCCAGCCCAGCCTCAGGCCCCTTCCTCAGTCAGGACCCGCTTGTAGGGGACTGTGACAAGCCCCTTCAATGAGGCAGATCCCCTGTAGGGCAGGCAGAAAGCTGTGGTATGGGGGAGGGGCAGGAGCCGCATCATCTAACTAACAGGTTGGTCTGGCTTCGAAGAGCCCCACCCTCCTGCAGCTAATGAACACCATGCAACAGGTGTTTGCGCCTCAGTCCCCAGCCGGCCCTGGCTGTGACAGGAGGCAGCTGCCACCACTCCAAAGCTCCCTCACTCACTGGTGAGCCCTCAGGCTCCCAGGCCCGGGGGGCCATCATGGCCTACCACTCCTGCGTTGTCGGCTTCAGCAGCCTCAGTGGCTGTGAAGTGACATCTGTGGGCAGACCTCAGCCTGGGACCTCAGGATGGGGCAGCTGTGGGCTCCCTGGGCCTGGCTTCAGCTCTCGAAGCCTCACAAGCTGTAGGCCACCTGGCATCATCCCCAAGGTGACTGTGAACTCCAGCCTGCTGGTGCCTCTGGACCTCAAGGTGGACCCAGCTGTCCAGCAACAGAAGAACCAAGAGAAGGAGGAAATGAAGGTCCTCAATGATAAATTTGCCTCCCTGATTGGCAAGGTGAGCTGTGTGGGATAGGGCACCAAAACAGAAGGGCTGCCAGGCTTTCCAGGTGACTTAGCTGGCGGTTCCCTGAGCATCGGTCATCATGCCCCACCCCCGCCCCTAGCCAATGGGGATGCAGCATGGCTAAACCAGCAGAAATGGGATAGGAAATCCTGGTACATCCTAATAACTGGAGCAAACCCCAGGATAGACTCTGAGAGGTATCTGAATAAGGACATGCCACCTTGCTTGGGGGGAGAGGGGGTAGAATACTAGTAGTCAAGGAAGTGTTTCTCAGGAAGGCTCGTGGAGGTGTGGCCTGCTGGCCTCTTCCCAGGCAGGTGGATGGCAGATACTACTAACATTGCCTTACTGGCCCATCACTCAAACCTCTGGCCCCAAAACCTCTCTGTGTGCTACCTGCCCTGTGTGCCTTCCCCATTCATAGAGCTGTTGCTAGCAGGTCCAAAGGGGTGTGTGGGGTCTGAAAGAAGCTGCCATGGAGGAGGCCGCATGAGTAGACTCAACTTTGGCTTGTCAGGAGAAAGGAATGCAGAGAACTATGTCAGAGTCCAGCCAGCAGCCAACAGCTGGGCTATTTTGCACTCATGTAGGTGGAAGGACCAGGCCCCTAGCAACTTAGTCCCTACACCTCCTAGACTCACTGCAGCTAGCCTAGGGCTTCAGGAAGTCCTGTCTAGCTCCCAAACCTGAACCCACTCAATGACTCCAAGAGACCTCTGCTGAACAAGCCTCCCCGCAGGGCTTCCTCCTGTGCCCCAGCTGCTCTGACTGTACCACATGCTGGCATGCTAGGCATCACATGAGGCTCCACAGGTTTACCTCAGATTTCCTCAACTGCAAAGAAACATTTTGGGGCATTGCACAGAGAAGGGAAGATGCCTTCCTCACCTCCAAGGCAGCAAAGTTCCAGCCTCCCAACCCTACCAGTCCTCATCTGCCTCTTGGTTTTTGCCTCTGCACACCTGGGGATCCCAAGAGGTGGGAGCACATAGAGAGGTAAAAGAGGAAAAAAGTATCACGTGTGGCCCAGATGCCTGAACCCCACAGGAACTTAGCAAGTAGGCTGAGGTCAGAGCCAACACTACCACTACAGCTGTTGTTTTCCCAGCTGTCCAGGTGAAGCAAAGGGACCAGAAAGGCAAGATGCCTTACCCACAGTCACATAGCCAACAAGCGATAGAGTTTAGATTTGATCTGAATCTGAGGTAGGAAAAGTGTCTTCCTCTCACTGACACATCTGACTACTTCTGAGTCTCCTCATTGACACCTCAGGTGCCCAGACTGGGAGAGGGGATAAGCTTCCCTTCCCACAGCTTGTCTGCACAGAGGGAACCCATGGCCTGGGACATAGGCCCTGCAAAGCCACCTCCTTGACAAGCCTAGCTAATCCCTTAAAAGGAGTGCTTCGCTGAACTATGTAATTTGGCTTCCATGGGTGGCTCTTCTCCTTCGAACCATGCCAATGCTGATGTCACCCTGTGCCACTGCTGTGGGCTCCGGGTGGGAGCCATGGGTGTGGATCCAGGGAAGGAGCCCTCACAGTTGGGGTCCTGGGTCCAAGCTTTTGAAGTCCTTTAGCAGATCTTGAGCCTCCCAACTCTTAAATTTGGCCTTCAGATGGGGTGCCTTTCACTGTAGGGTGCAGGGAACTGTGGGTTCCAGCCCTTTGGGGACCCTGGTTATTGGGGCCCTGTGCTAAGCAATGGCTGTAGCGGCCCCAAAGAGATGGGCAGCCACTTAAGGAAACATTAGAACCCTATTTCCGTGTTTAAATCTGGGGCCCACCATTAGGAGAATTACTAAACCTCTCTGGGACTCACTTGTAGATCAAATGGGATGATTTCTGAGAAGTAGCTAGAACCATCTAGTAGATTGTGCAAGCTTTCTGAATTTTTGCTAAGAAGTAGCATAAATAAGCCTGGTGCAGGGAGCTCCCAGAACTAGGGGGTCTTGAAGAACAGGGGTGCAGCCCCCTGGTAGGGCAGGGGTACAGCCAGGCTTCAGAGAGACATGCCAGCAGGGAGGGTAAAGGAGATGGATTCCAGGCTCAGAGCAAGGCTGAGGCTCTTTGGGCAGAGAAAAGGGAGGAACACCACACTTACCTCCCCCTTCAGGACCCACTGCCGCCCTGAGAAAACAGGGTGGGAAAGGAAAGGTCCCTCTAGAGGCTGGTGGAGAGGCCCTACTCTTGCCATGTGTTTCCTTCATTTATGGGCTCTGTTTCCTTATGAAAGTTGCTTACCCTCTCTGTGTCTCAGATTACAAGCTCTGCTACAGTCAGCCTGTGTTCCTGCCAGGGGGGAGGACTAAAGACCACAAGAGGAGGACGAGGAGGCATGGGGGGCAGGGTCCCATCCACTGGGGCTGCTGCAGGGGATCCCCAACATGCAGACAGCCTAGGCAATGGTGCTGAGGAAGGACTGCCGAAGCCTGGTCCATGTTGGGAAACCGAGAGCCCAGGTGACACCTAGAGACAGGGGAAGACCATGCCAGCTCCAAAGATCTCAGACATGCCTGCCCTGATGGCATCAGACACAGGCTTCCTGTGAGTCTCTGGACACCCTCCCAGGGTATCAGGGATCCTTGTCAATGTCTCCCTGCAGACTCAGTGGCTGGGCTCTTCCCAAGGAGCATCCCAGCTCCAGCCAAGAACTCTAAAGGCAACTTGATGTCCCCATGAAACACACCTCACATCATAAACCCTGGCCAGCCTGGCCAGCTCCATTCAGCATCCAGCATCAGTTTCCTCAACTGTAGAGTAAGAAAGCAGACAGACTAGGAATTGGCTCTGGGAAGGAGCCCCCACAGGGCAGGGGTACAGGCTAGAGACTGCACAGTCTTCTCTAGAGAGCTGAGATTGCTAACCGTCCCTAGGCCTTTGTTCCCACAGGGAGGAGCCCAGTAGACAGGCCATAGCTAAAGACAAGTTTTCATCCCCACCCACTGAGGCAAGAGACTCCCCAAAGCCAGTGGGAGACAGGTTGTCCTTGGTACCCTAAGAGCACAATGTCCTCCAACTGTCCTGGCTGGCCCAATTCATAGCATCTTCCCACAGAAGAGTGCTAAAGCATTGAGCATAGAGGTTAGACTAAAGGAAGAACTTCCTGGTATGAAGGTTTTTCTGTTTTGCTCATGGGTGGAGGTAGGAGCCTTATGTCTCTCCTCTCACCGCACCCTCAGTGTAAACATGGACTCCTGCTAGTCAAAACGGAGGGAAGGTGGGGTGAGCTAATACTCCCCCACAATGCTCCCTCACTCACACACAAAGCAAGGCAGAACCCTCCTGACCTCCAGTCCCACAGAACCTGTTTTCTTGTGGCACAGGTTTAAGGCATCATCATACAAAACTTCCCAGTGAGATGGGTGTGAGGCAGGGGAATGACTGCCCACCAGCGTCATACTCCATCCCTCTATCCAATGCTCCTGCTCCCCTCCCTACCAGAAACAAAGGTGCCAAATGTTTGCTGCAGCCCTTTCAGGCTGTGGTCCTGGGAGTAAGGCCAGCACCCTCAGCATACCACCATCCGGTTAGCGCTGCATCCTCATGGCTGGAACAGCTTCCTACCATCCAGGAATGGCCCAGCCAGCCCTCACTTCTGTGGCAACTCAGGGCTCCCAGGCTAACAGGGAGGGTACATGAAGAGCTGGGGTGGGGAGTGAAGGCATTCTTCAGGGGGAACTGGGGGCATACATGTCATGGAAGAACCCCCACCCCCAGCCTGGGAGGACAGGCAAGGATACCTTGATCACACAGGCAAGGTATGGATAAAGCCAGGAAGTCTTGATTACACTGGGATGCACTCCGGTGGGAATTGAGGCTACAACAGCCTTGCGGGGACCTAGCTGTGGTCCAGAGGTTGTTGGTGTCTCTGTAGAAGTCCAACACAGGGTGGGGGTCAGAGCTTGGGGAAAACCGCAGAGCTCAGTGAACTCCCAGTCCCCATCCATCTTCAGCCCACTTCAGAAGGGCCCTGAGCTCCAGTGTCAGTACCCCGGCCCACAGGAGGCACACTACAGTGGCTGATGATCTCTGTGCAGGACTAGAGACACAGCTCAGTGGATAGAGGGTTTGCCTAGTATGCATAAAGGCCCAGGTTAGAGCCCTATCACCACCTAAACCAGGAGCTGTGGCCTCAGCACTAGAGAGGTGGAGGCAGGAGAATCAGAAACCAAGGTCATCCTCAGCTATAGACTGAGCTCAAAGCCAGCCTGTAATACATGAGACCTATCTGTACCAACACAAACAAACAAATGAAAACCCAGGTGCCAGGCCTGGCTCTGCTGCCTGCTGATTTTGTGACCTCCGGCAATTCTTACAGCTCTGTGAGCTGGGTGCCCCTCTCTGGAAACTAGGCTGATAGCAATACTCACTCCACAGGGCGTTGCCTCAAAGGAGTTGAAATGGAAAGCACTTGGAACCAATCTGGTGCACGGTTGGCACCTCATTCACATTGGCAAATACCGCTCTCCCAGGCTCGTCCCCATATTCTGATCCCCACCCTCCCCACACACAGCAGGCAGTGTTAGCAACCTCAGCTTCTAGCTGGGGAAACTGAGGCGCAAAGAATCTTCAAGTCTGGGCTGTTCGGAAGGGTTAGTACTAAAGTACCAAGAAAGCCTGTCTTGCTGGGTTTTAAGGACAGATGAGATCAGGCTTGCCATGGAAGAGGGGCAGGTAGGAGCCTGATACCTCCCAAGCCCCTATCTCTGGGCTCTCCAAGACCCGGACTGTGATAGGCAGGCATTCCGCACCCCTGCCCCCATCCCTCACTAGAGGCCCAGCCCAGGCTAAGAAGCCTTCTTGGCCCCACCTCCATCCTGTCTTATCTCAGCATCTTCCACTCAACAGCCAAGAGCTGGAGGTGGCTTCCCATACTGAGTGGAGACAGTATAGGGGATGAGCTGCCCTGTCACAGGAAGTCCCACCTTGGGGCCCCCTAGTCTGCCCAGGGAACCCAATGTGGCACCTGAGGACCTACTCAGTGCCCTCCTGCTCTTGCAGGTACAAGCTCTAGAGCAACGCAACCAGCTGTTGGAGACCCGCTGGAGCTTCCTACAAGGCCAGGGAACAGCTACCTTCGACCTCAGCCACCACTATGAGACATTCCAGAGCAGTCTACAGGAGGAGCTGCGCAAAGTGAGCCAGGAGCGGGGACAGCTGGAGGCCAACCTGCTGCAGGTGCTAGAGAAAGTAGAGGAGTTTCGCATCAGGTAGGTCTCACCCACTGGAAACCAGGGGTAGAAGCTGAGGCTAAGGACTAGGCTGGACTCAGGGGGATACACCCAAGCTGGAGAAAGGAAAGATGGAATGGAACATGGATCTTCTTTAAATACAATTCTTAAGGCTATCACATGTGCCATTGTAAATACTGCAGGCATGGAGATCAACCTATCTATAGCACTGACCCTTAAGATCTACCAAGATTTAGCTACAGCGACTTATAGCTAAGCCCTGGAGTGCTTACACAACACAAGGCTGGCTCCGTCAGCCCCTCCTGAGCCTGCAAACATGCCAGCTCCTGTGCACTGCCCTGGGACAGGATGTCTTGCCTCTAGCAAAGCCGCAGAAGGTCCACACTCTACGACGTCTCTAGGCATTAATCTTGGTCTCGGAAGAAGAGAAGAGAGCAGTGCAGCCAGGGGACAGACAGGGCTTATCTTCATGAAGCAGCAACCCCCCTACAGGTGATGCTGTAGGCACCAAGTTAGCTGAGGAACCAGAGAGATGAGGGAAATACAGTCCTTGCCGGCACAATGCTTTTACAGTTACCGGAACAGAAGGACAAATGGCAAGGACCACAAACTCAGTAGTCATAAGTGCAGCCTAGGCACTGAAGTAGCAAGTGTTCATCCTCACCCCATGTCCTAGCTTTGTGACTTCAGGCAAGCATAGCCTATTGACTGGCCTCTGTTTCCTCTTGAATAAATGGACATGGTGATTGACACTAACCAATTGACACAGCAACCAATGCTGTGAGGAAAAAAATTGGAGTTCAGGCTGGCGCCTGGCAGTGACTTTCCTATCCCCTAGAAATTGAAGTTGACCAACATTGGCTGAACTGCTCTGGCCAGCCAAGGAAGGCAGAACGAGCAGGTGGGAGGCTCAGAGTTGAGGTGACCTTCTCTAAGATCACACAGGGGGCAAGCCCTCTAGGACGAGGAGGCTGAGGCTGAGCAGATAGCTTACATCCCTGAGTCCCCTACTCACCGAGGATGGGACAAGGGGTGGGGAACCAAGTATGGCTGACTCTGGTCCTCCAATGTGGCGCACACCCTACCAATCAGAGGTAGAACCAGCTATTCTAGAAGCATCCAGACAGAGCAGAAGGTAGGACAGCTTGTCTGGGAACCCAGGCTTCTAAGCTGCTCACCTTGGAGGCCCCCTGTCCTACAGAGCCCTGCCCTCTTAAGTCCTAGGAAACCCATGTGAGCATCCGATCACGTAGAACTGCCCAACCCCTGTTCACCAGAAGCAGCAGCCCATTTCACTGGTACCTAATAGGTCTGGAAGCCTCAGAGGAAACACCAGGCAAGACCTACTAAACAAAACTGCTGCCCTCAGTGGCCATGGCAGAGCAGCATGGCATCCCAGGATACCCACAGCTGAGTCCCTTTCAGGCATCGCTGGTTGCTGTCACCTAGCCACTGACCCGCTTACTTCCTGTCTGCCTCAGGCTGCTCTCTCTTCTCAGATGGAGTCTCACAGAGGGGTTTCAGGAGGTTTTGGTCTGCAGGCCAGAGCTGAAGCTAGTGATGTAGGGTGGAGTCCTGACAGGGAGGAGCTCTGCCTTGCCTCTACAGGGTGATGAGCTCAGTCTTGCTCCCAGAAATAAACAAGTCTAGGGGTGGGGGGTGGGGTGGCAGTCGTGACAATCTAAAAAGGGCCTGAGAACAGGTTCAGGAGCTGGTGGCTGGCAGGCTGGTGGCAGATTGGAGGTGGGACAGGAGATAGGCCTCACTTGAACCTCGCAGTGGGAATGGAGACTTCCAGAGATCCCCCAATGTCCTGCTAGTCTAACTTCCTAGTTACTAAGAACAAATCAGAGGCCCTGCAAGGGGAAGCAGCATGCCCAAGTTCACATAGCAAGAGACTCAGGGCTGGCACAGAGCAGCACAAGTTGATTCATGAACAGAGGTGTGAGGCTGGGGGGGGGGTGATTAGGGGCTGCGTCTAGCTAAGCATCAGACAGCAGGCTGTACACCCTTTGAGAAGGGGCTCTTCCAACTCACCCAAAAGCTAAGAATGGATAGCAGGAGCTTCAGAAGGACTGGATACCACCCCAGACTGGAACCCAGTGCCAGGCCTCAGACCTCTCACTGGACCATTAGCCTGGGGCTCAGGCATCAGCCCACCTGAAGGCCACTTCTAGAGGATACCTAGGCAGACTCCCTCAAACTCCCACTCTCCTGGTATCCTTCCCTACTGAGGGGCCATTTGGGCTGCCCTGAAAGTCCTGGCATATGCTTCCCCCATACCCCCAGTGGGTCTCTACTTGGTGGGTGAAACACTCTAGAAGCAAAGGCCCCCCCATCCCCATGAAGACTTCTTTCAGGAGGGTAGGCAGCTCTGAAGGATCCTCCTAAGCTCTAAGCAATGAAGAACTATTGGAACAGTGACAGACAGAAACAGGACAATGTGGCCATGCAAACGGGAGGCAGAAGATGAGAAGGGCTGAGCAGGGACCTGGCACCCAGGGGTCCCACCAGATGCCTCCCCAAGGTTGGCGGATTCCGCTACCCAGAGAAAAGTCGGGTGCTGCTGACCAGCTTACTGCATTCAGGTGGGGGCAGGACAAGGGGCTCCCTAGTTTCAGCCCAAGACAAGGCACTTTACAGGGGCCCTGAGATTCCAATAAGAAACATGCCTGAGTCAGGCACCCCCGAAGGCTGGTAACAATGCTCAGAGGGCCAGCCCCACTCTCCACAGGGCTTTCAGAGACTTACTTTACGTGGGAGGGCCATGGCAGAGGTTCAAGTGGTCACGAGTGTCAGATCTGCAGCAAAGACTTTCAGCCCTCCTGACATTTCCATTGTCGTGGCCAAAGAACACACACGTAAGCGAGGTAACCAAGTCATGCAGCTCTGCCACTCAGCAAGGGAGCTAGCACTTGAACTCCCTGCTCAGCCGGCACTCCTCAGAGGCTGGAAGCTCTGAGGGTCACAGGAAAGGGTGTTGGGGGCACAGGGGAAGGGAGACCACACACATAAACATGCACGCCCTGTAATCAGGACTCCTGAAGCAGTCTTTTTTTTTTTTTTTTTTTCCTCCCCGATACATGTCCAGTGTCCAGTACCCAATCAGGAGACCCTCACAGATTCCTGGAACACAAAATAAAGCCAAAAGCAGCCCATGACCCAAGATGTCCTGTGAATACTGTCGTTCTTAGGTCAACTCCCCTCCGGAAGACACGTGGACCCAGTCCCCTGACAGGGTCACTGAGACACTGGCCCCGCTGGGAGGTCTGGGACTGGGGCAGGCAGACGCCTGTAATTAGAGGCCTGAGTCAGGCATTCCTGGAGAGGAGAGAAGACACTAACCCACTTCCGTGTCATCCACTGGGGCTGTCCTTGAGGGCTGGTGTAGGACACCTGAGGCTGGCAGATGCCATCCACCCTATGGAAGACTAGTGCCTTAACTAGGGGAGGATATGATAAGGGACCAAAGGATCCTGCCCCCACCCAGCAGTGTCCTTTTTGCAAACCCAGGGTAAGCCTGACTCAAGAGAGAAGCAACACGGAAGAAAGTTAAACTTCGTAGCGTGCCACATACTGAATTCCTGTCATAACAGGGCAGGCTCCGTCAGCACCGGCACAGCATTAGACACAGGAAGCAAGGGGCTGGGAGTAGTGCACACTGGAGACCCTCTCCTGCCTCCTCTTGGAAGTCACAGAATGAGATGGCACCCATTCTCTTGCCAAGCCAAGGAGCAAGAAACGGCTGCAGGACAGAGTGGACCTGGGAAGAGGGGAGTAAGCAGGGTGCTAGCGGAGGACAGACCACAAGCATGGCCCAGCTGGACCTGTGACTCTGGGTGTCAGATGGAGAAAGAAGCCACTGTGAGGGGGTGCACAGTCAGGGAGGCTTCCCAGAGGACTGTTCAACAGAGCCAGGAAGTGGGGAGCCAGTACTGGGAGCTCCAGGGGAGGGCGAGTGTCCCTTAGAACCCCTGAGAGTGTTTTGCTTTGTTTCAAGACAGGGCCTTGTTACATAGCCCTGAATGGCCTAGAACATGAAGTCCATGTTGGCTTCAAGTTTATAGAATATTCTTGTCTCTGCCTCCCGAGGGCTAGAATTATAGGTATATGTCACCACATCCAGAATGGCCACCTTCTCTAGTTGTCATAAAGCATGGAAAGGTCTAGCAGAGAACTGGGCCCCTCACAGAACAACAGTTAACCAAACCCCAAGCTCCACAACACGGCTGAAGAACATCTCTCCCCACAGGTATGAAGATGAGATCTCCAAGCGCACAGACCTAGAATTCACCTTTGTCCAGCTGAAGAAGGTAATGACCCAATGCCTAGGGCCCTCCATCATGGCCCTCTGCCAAGGTCCTCTGTCCTTGTTTCCTGCATCGTCCCACTTTCCTTGATGCCTAAGCAAGGCTCTCAGGCACCTGGGCTGCAGGACCAGTAGACAGAGAGAAAGGTCAAGCCCAGGCCTGCCCCTTTCTCCAGGTTCAAAGGCACATTTCCTCTGGGTAACATCTCCCTTCCCATAAGCTGCCCCATCCAACTCCTGCCCTGAGCCCTAGCTCTTTTAGTCTCTATCTCTCACCTCCACTCCCAACTCCAGGACCTAGATGCCGAGTGTCTCCGACGAACTGAACTGGAAACCAAGCTAAAAGGCCTGCAGAGCTTCGTGGAGCTGATGAGAACTGTCTATGAGCAGGTAAGAGAACAAGGCAAAGGGAGGTCATGGGATGTTTATCAGTCACTATTTCCACGTCACTGAACCTCCTCAAGTGACCTCCTCTTGCCACACAGGGGCCGGGTCCCCAAAGTCACTCTACTTGAGAGAACCATCCTCATGTGTGCTAGAGTGCTGGCAAACAGGGACCAAATGCATTGGCAAGGATCAGTACTACCTGCCTTGAATGCATATCCCACTTGGGCTAAACTTCCTTTAGCCCTGGAGTCCAATCCACAGCACTACTTCTAGCTCTTATGGGCATGTGTTTCACCCTCTCCCACTCTTGGCTGAGATGGGAAAGACTCAGGATGGGCTTCAGCACAATTTAAAATGATATTCCAAATACAGACAGATGAGCTTCCAAAACATGCCCCCATCCATCTCCTAGGTCCTCAGCTGAACCTGGGAACAGTTACCCAGCAAGGGCCTAGCCTGGCTCTTTGGGAACACTGTACCCTCCTGGGCATCGTACCATGGACTGACTCTCTCTCTTTCTATCTCTCTCTCTCTCTCTCTCTCTCTCTCTCTTTCTCTCTCTCTCAACTGTCTCAGGAGTGAGGGGTACAGGGGTAATCTTTCACAAGTGTCTACAGTCTGGCAAGGACTAGAGAGAGTCATTGCTAGGACTGAGGGGCCCCAGAGGTTATATGCTGCCAACAGCTGGTGCCAAGCCATAGCCATGAAGACAAGGTTGGCAAAGGGTCAGTCACTGCCACAGGGCAAGCAGAGTTCTGCCATGGGCCCCACAGACTTCTGAGCACAGCTTTCCAGCCTGGCAAGGGAGATCGGGCCTCTTCCTGCAGTCAGAAGGCAAACTCACAGCTGACCACACTAGCAGCACTGAAAAGCACAGTCCTCAGTAACCAGGCCACACCCTATGGGCTGCCTGAGGCTCCATGCTTACAGATTGCTTGCTCTGCCCAAGCTCCTTCTGGCTTGGTGTGGTCCGAGCAAGCATCAGGGGCTAATGCTTCAGAATCTGTGTTCCACTGTGCTCACCAAGGCCTGGCAAATTCAGAGCTCTATGCCAAGGTGGAGGCCCTGCAGCTGAGGCCAGGCAGAAGGAGGCTGGCCATTACCAACAGACCCAGGCATTGCCAGAGATGTGTGCAAGAGACTTTTTGGCCCTTTCTCAATAGCCAGGACAGTGAACTCTATTCAGATGGAGCTTTAGCTCTTGTACCCTGTTTCAACTCCTTCTTTTTATCATGTCTGTAATGTTGGCCAAGCTACATCACCTTTCTGTGCCTCTTTTTCCACATCTGTAAGTTGAGGAGAATAACAGTAGCAGCCTGGTATGGATATGATGAGAACTAACCTGTTAAAATGTTCATTGTATACCTACTAAGTGCCAGGTGTATGTCACCTCCTGAATGGAGAGCACAACTCAGCTAATAAGCCAGTAAGTATCTCTTAACAAGGCCACAAGAGAGGGTGAGAGGCTCAGAGAGACAAAGAAATCCGTGGTGTCATCAAGCTAAAGGGCAAAGGAGAATGTAAGAGCATGGTTAGGGATCTGAAGGGTGCAAGCCAGCACAGTCCAGGAGAGTAACAGTCTGACCGCATGGGAAGGCTGTGTGAAGCTCCACAGCAGGAGAGCAAATAGGGCAGGCTGGGAGCTATGGTCAGTGAGAATCAATGACAGTCAGCACACTTGGCACACACAGGGCCCTGGGCTCTGAGACAGATGGGCACAGGAGCCCCTTGACTTCTGTCTTAGTCACTGTTCTATTGCTGTGAAGGGACACTACAGCCAAAGAAACTCATAAAAGAAAGCATTTAACTAGGGGCTTGCTTACAGTTTCAGAAGTTAGTTCATTATGATGGCTGCACACAAGGTGCTAGAGAAGTAGCTGGGAGTTTTACATCACAATCTTCAAGCAGAGAGAGAGAGCTGGACCTGGTGTGGACTTTTGAAACTGCAAAGCCCACCTCTAGTGACACACTTCCTCCAACAAGGCCACACCTCCTAATCCTTCTCAAATAGTGCCACTTCCTAATGACTAAGCTTTCAAATATATGAGCCTGTAGGGGCCATTCTTATTCACACCACCACAGCACCTTTGGCCATCAGTCTCAAGACTCCTACAGACACCCAAGTCATCTGATGCTCAAGGTCTCACATAAAATGTCACATACATTGTTTGCATGTTTTAAAACAAGAAGCTAGGCTGGGCTATAGCTTTTTGGTAGGGTGTTTCCATAGCATCAGGAGACCCTAGACTTGACCTCTCCCACTGCCCTCCCCAAAAATGGAGACCAGATTATTTTAATAGCATATCTCCATTAACCCTATATATCCAAGCTAAGGATATTTTGCATTGTAATTAGTATAAATATTAGTGAACTATTTTACTTTTCTTTCTCTTACTAAATGTTCAGAGTCAGGCATGGTAGGTCACACCTCTAATCCCAACACCAGAAGAAACAGGCAAAAAGAGCAAAGGTTCAAGGCCCTCTTCTACACAGCGGGTTCCAGGCCAGAGAGGGTTGCATGAGAGCTATCTGAAAAACAAAAAGAAACAAAACACACACTCAAAAGGTTTAACGTCTGAAGCACATTTTACGTCCACAGTAGCTCGTCTCAGGCAGATGAGTCACATCCCTCGTGTTCCAAGGCCACTGATAATGAGTGGCTCCCTTCCTGGACAGAGCTGACCCAAGCAAAGGGAGGTACAGGCCACACCTCCCTCTCATGACAGGAGAGCACAGGGGATTGTGGATAGCCCATGGAGTTTCAACTTTGAGTCCGATCAGAAAAGCCTGGAGGTATAGATCTATATCCTATTGATGTCCCAGTAAACAGGGATTCCCCCCACTTCTCCAGCAGCATGCTGGGAATGCATAGCTAGATGCCTACAAGGCCCTTCCCAAATGGCTGCATGGTTCCCACTGGCTAGATCTACAGTATGCATGGAACCTGCATGAACACTGCCTGCCACACCCAGAAACCCTGGTTCCAGGGAGATTAGGACAGAGTGCTCATGAAAACTCTGGGTAGCAATCAATGAGTACAGATTTTAGAGCAGCCTGGATTTAAATCTGGCTCAGCAACTATGGGAACCATAGCAGCTTACTTCAATCTTGTGTGTGTGTGTGTGTGTGTGTGTGTGTGTGTGTACATATATGGGTGTATGACTGTGGAGGTCAGATAATAACCTCTTGGAGAAGCCTCACCTTTCACCTTGTTGAGACAGGCTCTCTACTTTGTTGTTCAAAGCTGAGTATGATGTTCTCACTGGCCCTCCATCATCCAGTGACACCTTTGTCTCTGTCTCTCATCTCCCATCCCTTAGGAGCAGGAGGACGATAAGGTGCCCAGCTTTACATGGGTTCTGGGGATTCGAACTCAGGTTCCCATGCTTGCCTAGCAAGTACTCTGCTCACTTAGCCACCTCCCCAGCCCAGAAATTATTTCTTAATAGATTTTAAACCACTTAGAATAATGCCTGCCATGTAGTAAACATTTAAAAAGTGTTAACTGTTCTTAGTTCTGACCTTGCACCCACTTTACAGATGGAGACTCAGATGGGTTTTAAAACTTGATCAGAGTTATCTAATGAATCCGAGGTTGTGGCATTCAGAATACAGTGCCTTCAAGAGTAGTTTTAACCCAAGCAACACTTACAGCCCCCATGGGGAATTCTGTGAGGTAGATAGATACACAGCAGTCTCCTCCAGTTCCAGCTCCCTGGGGAAACTCTAAACTGTACTATGGTGCAATTCTTTGCCACCTTGGGGTGTCAGGGACCCACCCCAAGGTGGCACCTCACCCCACAAGTGAGCATTGTTATACCCTTGTTCCCGGAGGGGCCAGCATGTCTGGACAAGTGTGGAGCTGTTCTGAACACCGCTTTCTGCTTCTGTTTATCTCCCTCCTGCCTTGCCTGCTTCTTTCCAGCAAGGGTCTGAGGTGGAGCATCCATGTTGGCTGTCCCTTGGCCCCAAAAGGGAAGACCTGTCCTCTGTGGCATCTCCTGGCCATATCTCTGGACTTGCCCTGGGCCAGATGCCAAGTCAGGCCTGGGCTGGATGGTATGGTGCTCAATCCTGGATCCTTATTCACTGACTTCCACAGCCTGCCCACAAGGGGATCCCCAGAACCACATCTCTAAAACTGTCCTAGCAGGTACCCATATACAGTGCAAGATATTGGTGTGTCTGTGGTGACCACTGGCCTGATTCCAGTCATGGACCCAGCCTACCTTTGCCCAGAGACTTACATTCAGTTCACCTGGAAATCAATCCAAGATACCCATAGCTACTAGTCCCTGAGCTTGGTCCTGCCAGCTCGAGAAGGCCTCCAGAATGCTTGAAGCATCCAAGCTTCCTTTTCTAGGAAGTGCTAGTGGGCAACACTGCAGACAAGCAAATGAGAAAGGCACCCTCCACCGTCCATACGGTCCATTTGACCCCACCGCGGCTCTGAATCTTTATGCTAGAAAACAAGCCACCAGAAAGAACTTCCAGTCCCTACCAGGCGCTCCACCACAGCCATAAAGATAAATGGGGGAGGGGTCTCCCAAAAGTGACCTACCAAGGTCGGGGTGAGTAGCCTTGAGTGAACCAGCTGAACTAGGACTTAAGCAAGCTGCTAGATCCAAGTGCAAGCTCACGGAAGCCAGGGACAAATAGAAGGGTGTGTTGAACACCAGCACAGGATAAAATCCAGACCCTGGGGGACTATGCATTTTCAATAAGAAAAATTGTAAAGAAAAAAATGGAGTAGACAGCTGAAGACTTCTGGTGATGCACACCAGTTTCCATCCCTCACCCTGTTTGGATCCTGACTCTGGAATTCCAAAAGGGAGTGAGGCTGTCAGCAGTCAGAAACATGGGCAGTAGAGTGGTGACAGAAACAGAGGCAGGGGTCTGTGAATGCCAAAAGAGACGATGCTCCAGGTCCGACGCCAGCCAGAGTGAGCCATAGCCACAGCCACCTCTGCCTGGCTCCCTGCCTGCCCCTCACCTCTCTGTGAGGAGTGCTGGCAGCCACACTGTTGTTGTCACACTCACAGTCTGCTCCCCCTCCCACCCGAGCCCCACAAAGCCTGGGTTGTTGTTTAGCACCTCCAGAAGAAGCAGCCCAGGCTTGTGGCAACAACACTCTGCAGCCCCTGAGAGACCCGTGTTCCCACTTGTCTCTCTATTTAGCCCTAAGCCTTCCCACGGGAAAGCAGCTAGGACAGTAGAAAGTCAGCCTGGTGCTACAAAGACAGCTGGACTTCTTAGTTCCTCGGTGCTCCAAGCGTAACACCGAGCAGAGCACAGTTAGGTAGATCCCCAACCCCCCTGAGGTTGCCTCTGCCACCCCCCATGACCAGGGAAGGATAAACTATGGGGACAAGCACACCAGATTGCACTGTGACAAGCACACCATGCTACACTGTCAGGCCTGGAGTGCGAGGGAGGGCTTGACTATTTCCAGTGGTTCTAGGGACAGATGACTCTGATAGCAGAGTTGCATCTGGGTCCAGAGCTTTTTTTTAACCCATTTCCCCAAGGATTCACCAGCCTCTAGCCCTACCCTGGCTAGCATCATTTTCCATCCTCTCTGGTTCAACATCTGTTCAGTAAACAAGGATGTCCCATCAACAGATGTGGGGGCCCACAACTCAAGGTGACCCTGCCAGGCCTTTGTGGCTCCCTATCCAATGGGGAAACAGAGGGCAATATACAACGGAAGGGCCTGCCCCCCACTCCACCTCAATACCAGCCAGGAGGAGGGGTCCCAGCCTGAGTATGAAAGCCAGAGCCACCCCTGTCAGGGGGGAAGTAAGCGCCAGTCACACCTGGGAGCATAGTCTCTACCTCCTGAGGGGACAAAAGGACTATGGGTAGCTGGGAGACCTTGAGTCCTCCCCAACTAGCCCTGAGCCTCCCATTTCCTGTGCTGCAGGAGCTGAAAGACCTTACTGCCCAAGTGAAGGATGTGTCGGTGACCGTGGGCCTGGACAGCCGCTGCCACATTGACCTGAGTGGCATTGTGGAGGAGGTGAAGGCCCAGTATGATGCCATAGCTGCTCGAAGCCTGGAGGAGGCTGAGGCCTATTCACGGAGTCAGGTTAGGAACTGACAGAAAGGACTAGAAAGGAGGTGGCTGAGGCCTTGTAGCTCCGGGAGTAGTGAGGAGTATCTGGGGGGTGAGGGTGTTGCCATCATACCCACCAGGTGTGGGCATAGCTTACCCAGGGCAGCCAGGAGGAAGCCACTAGGGGAGCATGTAGGGCTGGGGAGGGAGGTGGGAATGGACAGTAGAAATGAGGCTGGGAGGGATGGTGAGGGGCTGCATCAGAGCTCACTTTACCATCCCTCTTCCACACCCCTGCAGCTGGAGGAGCGAGCTGCCCGCTCAGCAGAGTTCGGGAGCAGCCTCCAAAGCAGCCGCTGTGAGATCGCAGACCTCAACGTGCGCATCCAGAAACTTCGGTCTCAGATACTCTCCATCAAGAGCCATGTGAGAAAGCACCCGAAGGGCCTAAGGGGACTGAAGGGCAGGAAACACTCACACTCAGTCACCCTGAACACACACAGGACCTGGCCACGTGGCCCTGAGCAGGTCTATTTGTGCCTCTGGCCTCAGTTTCATAACCTGCCAAGTTATGGTGGATGTGAGGATCATGTGAATTCTGCACAGAAACACTCTCTGTAAAGTTCCCAGAGCAACTGTGACATCAGAAAGTCCTCACCATGCAGGACCAGGCCTTCGCCCCCTGCCCGAGCCTAATCAACCATACAGCGAGGAAGAAATGAGTCTCAGTTTCCAACAGGGACTTCTGTTGGTGGCTTGTGAGACTTCCCTACTCTTCAGGTCTAAGTGAGCTCCCTGTTAGTGCCTTGCAACCCTTTACCCCACCTAGAAATGGTGCTGCTTAGCTACACACGCTCGGACAGCGGCAACCTCAGGCCTGGCCCACTGCCTCTCCAACCACTGTCTCCTTCCTCCTCCCTTTGGCCTCCTGGCTGCAGTGCCTGAAACTGGAGGAGAACATCAAGGTGGCTGAGGAGCAAGGCGAGCTGGCCTTCCAGGATGCCAAGGACAAGCTGGCCCAGTTGGAGGCTGCTCTGCAGAAGGCCAAACAGGACATGGCCCGGCAGCTGCGCGAGTACCAGGATCTCATGAACACCAAGCTGGCTCTGGACATCGAGATCGCCACCTACCACAAGCTGGTGGAGGGGGAAGAGAACCGGTGAGGGTGGGGTGAGGGTGGAGCTGGACAGTAGCCAGACCAACCACCTGAGGGTCTCCTGAACTAACTAACACAGTCACTGAGTGGAACTGGGACCTAGTTCCACATTGCCCAGCTGGGAAGTGGGCTAATGATAACATAAGCATGGCTCGCCTGTATAGAGAAGCCATGTGAGTCCAACCAGTGAGATGGCTCAGTGCCTCCCAGCCTGAGCTCCAATCCTGAAGACCACATGGAGGAAGTAGAGAACCAAGCCCCACAAGTTGTCCTCAGAGTTCCACACATGTGTAATGCCATGCACATGCACTTGTGTGAACACAGGCATGTACACTTTTTTTTTTTAAAGGATCAAGGTGGATATTCTGGTGTTGTGTTTAAGTGTTCAGTTGTGTTTCCTGCATATGCATAGCAAAGAAGGGACTGGAGCCCCCCAGAACAGACCCTGGGACAGGGGGAGTACAGGTTTGGGTCTCAAATACCAAGCCTCTCCCCGCCCTCACCCTGGGGAACCAAAAGCAGGATAGCCATGGGTCCTCAACTCCCTAAGCTCTAGGAAGTCCAAAGACAAGACAGGGCTCTAGAGGCAAGGACAACTAAGCTAACCAGTGTCAACTGGAGGCCTGGGAATGACAGCCAGGAATGGCCCTCCAGTGGGCACCAAATCCTAATGGGGTTAAAATCCCAGGTTCCCTTCACACTCTACCATGTCTCCCTCCCTCCCTCAGGATGGACCTGCCTTCTGCAACCGTGGTCAGTGCTGTGCAATCCCGATGCAGGACCAGTAAGTTCCCGGAGACCCAAAACAGGGACGCATGCAGTATGTGGGATCATGGCCCCAAAGGCATCATGTCTGTAGCCTCCAGCCCCTTCCCTCCCCCACTGTTTGTGTCTCTGTAGCTGCCTCCAAGTCTGGCCTCTCCAAGACCCCCTCCCGGAAGAAGAAGAACCACAGAGGTCCTGTGATCAAAATCACCGAAATGTCAGAGAAGTACCTCTCCCAGGAGTCAGAGGCCTCAGAGTAGGACAGCGACCCCAGGAGCCTCAAGTCCCTTCCACTGCAGCAGGAGGGACTTAAGCTAAACTTAAGTAGCCTGGAGCCTCCAGGTTGGGAGGGGAGATGCTGAACTGAGAGGTGGGTTCCAGCTGAGGCTTCGTTTCTCTCAATGGTCAGTGAAGTCAAGGGAACATCGCCAGCCCCATTCTACATCAGAATCTCACTCGCCTCCCAACCTCCTGGCCACAGGTTGTCCTGGCTGGTAAAGGGGAACTTGGGGTCAGTCACCTCCTTGACCCTCTGAAATGCCTCTTCCCACAAATCTCTGACAAGGTGCTTGACTTTTGCCCATCGCTTGCCCTGACCTCAGCCTTGCCTCGCCACTGCCTCAGAGCCTAGGCTGCCATCCTTACTCATTAGCCAGGCCACAGCCTCAGCTGAAGGACACATTGGATTTGTCCCATGGGGGCTTAAGACCCCTGGCTTTCCTGCCCTTAGGCTCCCCAGACATATGACAGTATTGGGGGACAAGGGAAGGAAAGGCCTGGTATGTTAGTCAGAAGCCTAAGTCTCAGAGAGGCCCAGATACCTGCACCCACTCTCTTCTAGAGTCTAAGATGTCAACCATAACTAGTCTCCAGCACTACCCTGGTCATGGCCAACACCCTAGGAGCAAATGCCAGAGACGACAACCTGACATCAGGCCTTGCCTTCACCTCCCTGTCATTCTGGGTTGTGCCGCCATCCTGCAATCTGGGCTCTGCCTCCAATCCAGGTCTCTCCGAACTCAATGCTTGCCTTTGGTACAGCAGGCTCTAGAGCCCCCTGAGCCAACCCTGCCAGAAATGCCCATATCCCCCAAGTCCCACTTGCTAGAACCTCTGTTCTATCCCCAGGGTCAATGATCTAGGACATTCCATCCAGCAGGTCAACCCCTCCTAGTTTCCTTCCTCCCTCCCCTCTTCCAAGCTTACTCCCCCTGCCTCTGGCTGCCTGTGAGGAAAGCTAATTCTAGGGAGATCTGGAAGGTTCTTAGCTCTGAGTTGGTCCAGGAAGCCCCAGTAAGGGCCTTCAAAGAACTAAACCCAAGAGAGCCATTCTGTACCAACCATGTATATCTGGACTTGTCAGAGATCTGTGTCCTGCCCTTGGATCTCAGCTCTGGGGCTTGCAGGGCACAGACAGTACCAGCATCCTTCTCTCCTCCCTTTCTTCCCATCACACCCATATCCCAGCCACCCTCATCTCCTCTCCTAGCTGTCTTCCATCCCTTCATCTCATTCTCCAAAACAAGGTGTTCAGCAAGGCCCCTGGCCCTCCAAGCCTGCAGGAGGTACTGATGGGCTACAGCTCTCCCAGGCCAAGGGACCCAGCAACATACTCAACCCTGAGTCCCCAAAGAGGTGCTCACTGCTGCTTTCTCTGGGGCTACTCACCAGTTTCCAAGGGAGCAAACCTTCAGTGGGGACATGAAATATAGAAAGTATATATTATTTTTTCATAACTTATGTGGCTTTTAACTTATTGCTTCCCTTCCTGTTTCTGCATGATCAACACTGTGTAGTATCAAGACTTTAGAGAACTCACTTCAGCCACCAACTTGACTGGCTGACTCGGGCAAGGGGTCAATAAAGTATTAAGATTCATCTATGGATAAAGTTTCTGGGCATTGATTTTTGTTTGTTGGTTCCTTGGTTGCTTTGTTTTGTTTTACGTGTGCTGGAGACAGGATCTTATATAGCCCAGGCTAGCATCAAACTCATATAGCCAAGGATGCCCTTGAACTCCTGATTCTTCTGCCTTGGTCTTCCAAAGAGCCATAATTACAGGTATATGCTACCATGCCTTGCTTAAGTATCGAATTTCATCTCCCTTCTTGGGGTGATTTGGTTACTAGTCATCCCTGGCTGGCCTTGGGGTGTTACAAACTCTCTAGCCATAGGTAAGTGTTCCATGAAGATACCAAATTGTAACTTCAAACCAATGGGGCTTAGACTCAAAATGTCCCCCACCCTTTCTTGCCACCAGGAGACTTGTCTTACAAGTGTATCCATGTTGCCAGTGCCTACATGTCTCTGATGACAGAGCTGTGGTCACTCCTCTCAGGAATGCGACATCATCTTCGGCTGCCACACTCTGCCCTGTGACAGCTCAGCAATGGGAAAGGTCATTAGTGACATCACTGTCGTTGATAGGGCAGATATTAGAAGTTACAGATGACTAAGCCTGATGCTCAAAGTCAGGCAAGGGGACCTCATCCTGGCTTATGAGGGGCACAGCACAGACAGGCCTCAACTCTGTCCCTTCTGCTCGGGACCTTGACAGACAGGATCTGCTCTCAGGACAGATGAACAGTGAAGCCCCAAGTCCCATCCAGAGAACCCTAGGACTGAGGGGGGTTTTATGTTTTTGTTTTTGTTTTTTTCTTTTCTATTTTATCCACTTCTGAATACCTGTTTTAATTTCCAAACTTGAATAGGAATTTCATGTTCCAAGGTTCAGTGACATATTTATTCTCCTACTTTCTCTGGGTTATTTTTATCAGCTTCCAACTATGTGGATTGACTGCTTTAATTTTCATTTTAACTCTCTTTGATGATCATTCACTTCCTAATGAATACTATTTTGACTGCTTCCTGGAGTTCTCATTCATAGCATCTTCATTACCCTAGAGTTAAAACAATTCTATTACTTGACTAATAAGTTCTTTAGAAATCATGACGTGTAGCCAAGTCATTCATTTTATAAGCATTTTTTTAACACAAACATAGCTCATACCTGGCATGCCCAGCATTTATCTCTGTAACCTCAGACCTCAACTAAGCAGGCCACCTTGTACTCTTTGTCCCTAAATCACTCCAAGCTTCTAGAAGGCAGAAGTTGTGTTGCAGTCTGTCTCTAGGGCCTTCAAACCTAACCAGCATAACTCTTGCTGCAAGCCACTACAAGACATCCTTCTCACAGTTGGACCCTGTGACCAACTCCAACAGAAACCTTGATAAGGTCTGTACCTTGTGCAATCTAAGCTTGTAGTCCGTCTATAGATTAAATGTTAGTCAGTGCTCAAAGCCAGGTGTGCAACCATTCTGTTGTGGCCTTAGAACCACATAAAATAGGAGGCTAATAGGCAGAGGTGTCTTGGGTTGGGGTGGTAACTTCAAGAAAATGCAGCTGTCCGTGGTCATCCACTGATCCAGAAGTAGCCCCTGATAAGTTCATTTTATTCTTCAAAAAGGAGCTGGAAAGCATCATCCCTCAGGCTGTTGATGCCATCCCAGTTTGGGAGAAGATATTAATTTTATTCTCCCCCAAAGAAATCACATCAGAAGAGATATCCAATAAATGTAGAGTGAGTGAAAGAAGAAAAGAATGACACCCCTCCCTAGCCGCTGTCTCCACGCCCCAAAGTTGCATGGAGGTAAGGTGTGTCACATCTACTCTTAAGTCCCCAACACTTAGACACTGTCTTGACATAAAAGGTTTTAGTCAGTGCAGGGTGGAGAGGGACATTTCCCTGTCCAAGCAAATACACTTTCCTACCCCTTCCCAGCAAGCAGTCCTCTAAGAGATATAGATGCCCTACTCCTTGGATGAACCTCTGTCCTACCACCTCCTGGCTTCTCTGTCCTCCCAGAGACTCGGCGAGAGGTTGGGCAAGAGCACTAGCCTGCCGTGGCTACAACAAAGCTAAGCCCCAACCTGGGTTTCCCTCGTTCTTTTCTGTTAACCGAGACCTGGAAAAAACAAGCACCATAACTACAGAAGGCGCCCAACACAGAAGAGGAAGCATTGTGGATACCTAGAGCCATTCCTTTTTACCTGAAGACTAAATGCCACAGGAACAGAAAACGATGGCCAACCCCAGCAGATGCCGAGTAGAACTAAGATACGAAAGGTGGGTGGAGTTGAGCAGGTTCTCGTAAGCTGAGTCCTGCAGTTGGTCATGTGAAAGATTAGAGTGTGTGTCTGGGAATCAGTGCTCTCATAGCTCTAGAGGAAGTGTCCACCAATGAGACCTCACCCAGAGCCCAGGCAAGTCCTGTGGGACAGACAGCCTTCTCTCACTCCACTCCTCCTGGCCAGTTCAGATCTAAGGGAAACACATAAGAAGCGTTCTTCTCCTTAAGTTTGGGGAACAAGGCCCTAGTGAAGGAGAACTCCACAGAAACAGGAAGAGACAAATTAGAAATGCCTGACTGACATTCCCACCACACTGGAGCCTGCAATGCACTTGGGAACTCTGTCACAGAGGGTCTCCTGGAGGAGGGGAGGCCAAGTCCAAAGAGGGATATTAGAGGTAGGGAGGAAGAGGGAAAGAGAGTGAACTTGCTCAGCTAGGCAGGGTTTGGGGAAATTAGTTAAGAACAAGGAATACGGAGGTGCTGTAATATATGGTGGTCCCTGAAATGTCCCACAAGATACAGGCCAAGAACACATACTGCATATCACTCAGTCCTACAGCCTGATGTGTACTGGGGAGTCCAGCATGATATTGGCACTTGCCAAATTGGAAGAATGAACAGACAAATGGGGATAGCAAGGGACCATAGCTTCTGGGAGATCCAGAGAGAGCCACCCTGGGGCATGCTTAGTAAGGAGGGAAGAGAGGAAGAGGGTAATGGAATCCTCATCTTCAGGGGTTCCATCCTGGAGCAGACAGGCCATGATCCATGCCAAAGCCACTGTGTGCCAAGTACCCTCTATCACGGTTGCTCTGTGGGACCTCAGCATGGTCACACTCCTCAGTTTCGATGACGCTGCAGGTCCAGTCCCTGGCATAAGTGGCTGGAGGCGGAAGTGGAGGGAGCTAAAGATCCCTCTGCCACCTGTCTGTGTTCTTAGCTGGGGCCTTTGGCTATCTAGGAACCACACTGACACGGCAGATTGACAGAGGAAATCCTGAAGGTTTTATGAATCCCTCAGAAACTGATGTGAGGAGGGAGCAAGGGGGAGATGAGGGTGGCGGGTAAGCTGTCTGTTCTAATTCATTGCAGCAACAGTGGATATAGGGGTTTATTATCTTCTGGTCCAGGGACGTTCTGGAGATTTGATTGATAGGTAGGAAAGGGTCCGTCACAAAACCCCTTCTCAAGTGTCACTTATGCTATAATACGGATCAGGGTGGGACCACTGGCAGATCCCACGGCAGGTAAGGGACAAATGGCAGATGAGAGACAGAGACCTGAAGACAAAACTTATGGAAATTGTATTGGGGGGACAGAAGAGAGAGAGACAGAGGGAGACAGAGGGAGAGAGTGACCTGTCTCCTCAGAAAAAGGCAGAAAGAGAGAGGGGAAGTGGGTGGTTTGCCTCTTAAAGGGACCTTCACACCTGCATATAGAGCCAGGGTACTGGCTACTGTGCATGCGTGCCTGTGGGGGTGAGCACTCTGCTAGGTTCCCAAGGGGTGGGGCCAAGATGTGCCTGGGTTACAGCAACTTATCAATATTTAATCTTCTTAAGCTTGAAATATTCAGTGTTTCAGGTATGGTGTCTTTAATGTATCAGTCATCCCCATGAGATCAGCTACCTGACTCCCTGGGGAGCACACCCCTTCCAAGACTAGGATCTGCAGAGCTCGCCCTGGTGCTGGACGGATGGTTTGGGGCATTCTATGAGAGCGGAACTACATTTGCATAATTGATTTGTTGTGAAGCCTTTAAAAATGGAGACACCGGGGCTGGAGAGATGGCATGGTGACTAACAGCTCTGCTGCTGTTGCAGAAGACCCAGGTTTGATTCCCAGACCCCACATGGTGGCTCACAACTTTCTTTAACTCCAGTTCTAGGGGAACATGGTATACCTTCTGGTCTCCATGATGCACAAACACACATGCAATCAAGACACCCATACACATAAAATTAAAATAAATCTTTTTTTAAGTAGATGCATGAGAAAAGGATTTAGCATGGTGCCTGGCACACAATGGTTGCTTACTAATGTTGCTAACAACCAATTCAAGTTTTGGCCAGCCTTCCCTGAGTCCCCAGTATACAGGAGATGGGTGTTCTCTCTGGCCCCAGTGCCCTGACCTTAGGAGTGACGGATCCCTATCTGTTCATCCTTGGAGAGGTGTTTAGAGGAAGCTGAGGGTTAGAGGAGAGACCCAGCCCTTCCTCTTTCCTCTGGAGCAGCTGCCCAGCCTGCTGCTTTCCAGTAAGAGAAGGTTGGACCCGCCCAGCCTGCCAGCCAGTGCTGCAGCCACCACTGCCCTCTCCTGGCAGAGGCAAGAACCACAAGTCTCTGAAGCCTCTACAACAGGGTTAGGGTTGGGGGAGCAGCTAGGGATGTTTAGAGTAGCTAAATGCCAGCCTCAGGCATAAATAAACTTGGCTCCAATCTCAGACCTCAGGATCCAAAGCCCTGTTCTCCCTACACTGCTCCCTCCCCACCACCATCTACGGAGTGCCCAGGCCTTGCGATGGCTGCCACATCGCAGGCCTTACAGAGGCTGCAGTGGCAGCTCACCTGGAACTCTCCCCCACACCATCTGCTTCCTCAGTGTCAGGCCTAGGACATCACCTCTTCCTAGACACCCCTCCAGGAAACTGTCTCCCCTCCCCGTTCAGCTGTCCCCTTCCCATCTCTGGGCTGTGCTCCCAGCACACAGCACAGCCTCTCTCATGCTTTGGTTGGTATGCAGACAAAATAAGAGCC